GGGGGGGGGGGATATGATAAAATTAATGGAATCCTGTCGTTCTAATATCTAAGATACTTCGATAGTTGACAGTTAATTTACAATTCATGATTTTTATCTGGCAGTTTAGTTTAAAACTTTTTCATAATGCGTAAGTCCAAAATTGTGGGGAAGTTGTTGGAGTTAAATAAATTTCGAACATTGTGCTCGTACATGCGGTCCACGTATTTGCCTCGAGATCGCGTGTTGCTCGTGCGTCAAAGATAAGCGAACATTGTTTCGTCTCCACCTCGTAATGAAATATGTTTGTAGATATGTAGGTGTCTGTCGAGCTTCCATTAAATCCCTAGAATCCTTACATGTGTGGTGTCTTGACACGATTGCTGACTTGATGGTTAAAACTCATTCTTTACGTGTGAGGAACGTGGGATAGGGAATGAATATTCCGAAGCCGGTTAATATAATAGGACTCGTCGCGATTCGATCGAATGCGTTCCGATTGGTCAATTGGATTCCGATCGACTTTTACGCTCCTATCGCGAATTCGATGGAAGATGCGACATTTTTCCATGTGCGTGATCCTTTTTTTTTTAATCGTTATACAATTCTCGAAATCGAATTTAAATCGCGTTTTCAATTATTAAAAAATAATTTCGTGAAATCAATATTGAACCGAAATATAAATTGTAATTTTATAATACGTTTAATACAATACTTTCGTTATAATTTTAAAATAATTTAAAAAACGTTAGATTAAAGATGAAAAAAATAATTCGAAGTGCAATCGTGAAATATTTTCTTTGCTCTCTAAAAGCAAACATCGTTCAGAGAGATTAAAAAAATTGAACGACATCTTTTAATTAATGTATCTTTGCTATTTTGCACGGACGATCAAGCGTGTACCGAGATAAGGTTATCGCGATTACGAGACGGAAAAATTGCAAACACGTTCAGATACACATCGATCTCGATATCGAGAATCATTCGATCGCGAAAATAAAGGGAGAAAAAATACGAGTATAATGGATTCTTGTTTATATATTAAAGATGATTGAACGTATATTCTCGTTTAAAGATGGAAGGAAAGGGGGAAAAAACTATTCCTGTGCAATTCTGATTACTAATTGGTATAGAATACGATTTAAAATCTTATCGTAACGTATGAATCGTCTTATTTCTCATTAATCGGAGATATCGAAGGTATTAAGTCAATTGTGCGAAAAGAAAGGAGAATCGAATTGAAAAATGGAAAGTATTTATCGATTCCCGAATTATAAAATTAGCAATCTTTAAATCGAAACGAGATCCAACGAGTGACTCGAATTTAAATAAATTAGTTATCAATCGACAGAAGCGAATAATATACAAACACTGGGGATAACAGGCATCGCGAAATCATCGATGAAAGTCATTGTATATAGAACCGGGGGGGAAGGGGGGGCCAATCGCAACGCTGTCGACGATCCTCCTAGAATCGTTAATCTTCACAAATACCAAACACTATCGCCGGCGACGCGTGAATTTCAAATAATTTCTCCCGTATTGAAATTAAAATTTCAAACAACGCGTCTAACGTCTCTTAATAATCACTCGTTCGCGCGATAATCGGGAAAACGGATTCGTTAAAAATTCTCCATCTTGTAGAATCTTTTAAAAGTTCGAAAGGTAGGCGTTGAAAAGCTGTAAGCGATAAAGGTTGCGCGCGAGACGACCGGTTCGACATGAGGTCGTCGCAGGTGTTGAGGTGCGATAACGCGGAATAATTAAAATCCGTCGGGCGGAAAACTGTGGTCGGTAAATCTCATTATCGGGCCCGATTATAACGATTATAACCCTGTCTTATTGCGATGCGTGCTCGTGAAAACGTTTTACGCGACGGTTGACAATAGTTTGGGGAAACGGGGTATGCGAGTTCCATCACGGGATCGAATGGTGCGTTTCTCGTTATTGCGATTAAATAACAACGCTACATCGTTCGTGAAAACGTCTAATAACGGATCGTATCGTTGCGTGATCATCTGTGCTGATCATGGATCTTCCACCTTCGTGGTTCTTGTGCGAGCTCGCTAAATTAATAGGTAAGCCATAACTTGTTGTTTCGTTTTTCTTCTTATTTACATCGTTACCGTTACGAACGCATTTACGAAAATGTAATCGAGCAAAAAGAACTTTTTAGCGACACAAGAAACGAGCTATTCTTCCGTTTATTTAATTAACGATCGAAATATAATTCTAATCTTAAAATCTTTCTCGAAACTCGTAAATTTAGCCGCCTGGTTTAATTGAAAATCATTTATCCCGCTAAATTATACGCTCGAATGCTTAAATACAAATTGAAACGACCTATTATCCCCTGTGTACATGTAAGAATTAACCGAAATGATTTATCTAAATGATTTATCTAAATATCTCTCGCCCTGATTATTATAATCAACGTCTTTAAACGAGTTTAAACGCCGATCGAAATAATAACCCGCGCCAGATGCGATGATTTTTCCGTCTCGGGATCTTTCATCGAAATTGTCCGATAGTCGATTTCGAAACGAATATCCGTACACACCGTGGTACGATCACGAATAGCCGTTTCGAGTGACGATCGTTCGCATGGAATCTCATTCGATTTCGAATGGATCGTGAGCTATTTTTACGAGCATCGCCGCAAGCGGCACGACTGGTTCCTTCTATTAATAGTTATGGCGTTATCGCCATTTTCGCCAGCGTTTTTTGTCCTTAGCTGGAAGAGAAAAAAAGAAATAACCTAACCCAATGCCAAAACCTCTCTTCGCTTGTTTCGTGTTGACGATCGTATGGTGATTTTTTTTTTTTTTTTTTTTTTTTTCCTTTTTTTTCATTTTTTTTTGTCCTTATCTGTAATAGAAAAAAAGAAATATCCTAACCCAATGCCAAAACCTCTCTTCGCTTGTTTCGTTTTGGCGGGCGTATGGTGATTTTTTTTTTTTTTTTTTTTTTTTTAGAATTTTAAAATTACCAATTTCCAAACATGGAATGTAATGGTATAGAAGAATGAAGATATAGTTGAATGAAGAAGTAATAATCGTTAACTATTAATAAAGTAGTAAAGACTATTAATAAAACGTAATTCTATAATTTTCTTCGAA